GGGTTCTCTGCTTCATCGTGGGTTTGCCATTTACCTTTTTTTTTTTTATTTTAATGCTTCTCGCCAGCTCTGGATCCGAGGAATGCAAACGCTGCAGCAGCCCATTAAGGGAGGCTCTGCGTGTTGCCTCGGATGTCTCCTTTGTCTGTTTAATGTACTGATGTATCATGCACCTGCTCGTTTTGTGTGGTTTTTTGTGGGTTTTTTTTTTTTAATTTTATTTTTCTGTTTTAATTCTCTTTCGTTTTTGGACAGGAAAGAGCAAGAGCTTGATTCGAAAGATGCTATCATACTGCATCAGTTTTCAAGGCCTACCAACGGTGTTCCGAGCTTATCTCCGTTCTGTCTGAAAATGGAAACTTACTTAAGGATGGCTGATCTGCCCTACCAGGTACATCTCTGCAGTTTTTCTTTACACTGCAGTTTGCTGTCATTTCATGAAATGCCAAATAGGCATCCCCTCTCCATACCCGCCCCCTCCCAAGTCTGTCTCAGCCAGGGAGATGTAAACATACACCTACAACGAGGTGGGTACACCGACGCTTTTTTGTCTCTGCTTAAATTGGGTTTATAACCTTTAAAGGCATGACTTGAATAAGATTGGTCTGGAACAGCTCTGGATTTAACTGGCAAAGCTAAGTGAATGTTAGAAGTTAACTTGGCTGGAAATGCTGAAGTGAGAGAGTAGTCTGGAGTTTATATAATGCTAAATAACACCCCAAAACTAAAGTGTAACATTATTTGGTTTTTTTGAATTTCACCGTGCTAAAGAGATCGAGATTAGACAGCTGCAGCTCCTTATTTGCCTGGAGAATTTCTCTCTGGAGCTCTCCTGGGGAGATGTGTTTGCCTTTTGCTTCACCTTCCGTTGCCAGTGCATCCCCTCCAGTGAAGGAAGACAGGATTGCTTTTAGAGGTTGTGAATGCTGCTTCTTAATTGTGACAGGGTGCATCCTGGGCTGTCTTCCCACAGGGGACGAAGCCTGAGCTACTCCAGTGAATAAAAGCTGGGAGAGCAGAAATTGGAATGTAGCAGTCTCGCCTGTTAGCATCAACATTTAGTTGTGACGCTGTGAGTCTGGCATGCGCCTTGTTGCTGTACAGCCTGCAAGCTCTTCAAAACATGGGGCAGGTTTCTTTTCTGTTTGTATAAAGTATTGGGTGTATGTAAGATGATACAACAATGGTGATAAATGTAACGAGGATCTTAGGTAGAGGAAACGTCTTTCATCTTTTTTTTTTTTTTTTTTTTCCCCCAAGTGATGTAAACTTGGCACCTTTATCTCAAATAGACTGGGCTGTGGGTGAGTTGCATGCTCACCCCACATGAGTTCAAGTCACTTCTAACTGCTGCAGACCAAGTGTTAGGAAGAATGTTTCGTTTATGTCCAGTGTTTTACAGAGGAAAAACAACCATATTACAATTATTTTTTTTAACACATTTGTGGTTGATATTCGTTCAGCTTTGTATGCAATTAAACTCCTTTACATCGGAAGTGAAAGAAAACCTAATTAGTACGTTTTGCTTAAATCTTTAAAAGCCTGAGTTTAATGTTCATTATCTTATGATTTAATGGTACTTGAATCAGATACTTCAGAGCATTAAAGAGGGAGTCTTCCATCCCGTGGGATGTATTTTCCTCATTTAGGTTTACAGAACCTGCAAGATAACTGAGGCTTGAACATGTCATTGGAGCAGGATGACTTAGTGCACGTTGCTTCTCCACCTGGAGTAATTTGGGTAGAAATTGCACATTTGAAGAGAAACCGATTTTGCTGAGATCTGTTTTCTTTCTAGTGCCAGTTGATGCGGTTCAGAGGTTTGCAATGATCAAAGTTGCTCTGGTGAAGAGTAGTTAAAGTAAACTGCAGTTATAAAAGATGGTTGTGACAGGGAATGGTCACTTCTAAAAGATAATACTGCGCATTTGTGTGATTCCAGATGGAGTCGTTCAGACAGCTAATGCTGGGTAGAAGTGACTCATCCAGCTTTTTGGAGGGAGAGGTATTTCCAGAGGGTTATCTTCCCCTCTTTATTCCCTGTACTGCTGGTCAGCTTTGCTTTTTGAAGTTACATCTCTCTCTCTGTCCTTACTCGCTACCTGTGAGCACCTAAGCTGGCACAGGTCAGCAGAACCACCAAAAGCAACAGGGCCTGCCTTCAGCAGTTGGTGGCTCCCTCTTGTCCCTTCCTGCACGTGTTTTTCTATGGCAGATCAGGCTGGGCCAGAGCTGGAGCCATGAAGGTTTAGTTTGCTTGCTTTTAACCCGTCTTGCTTCTCTGCATGCTTCACATGCAGTGCTGCAGGAGCAGGAATGGGTCGCACAGATGCCGGGAACGCCAGGTTGCTGCTTTTAGCCATGCTGGCTTATACGGGTTTAAGGTGTTTGTGAAGTTACTGACCCTATGTAGGGTTTTAGAGGTGAGTGTGGTGGAACTAAGGTGAGGACACAGCTTTTTTTTCTGGAAGAAATCTCAGCAGATTCTGTTTCTGTCGTTGTGTTAGGAGTACGGTGTTGCATTTGGCTCCGGCAGGAGGAGGAAGGTATAGATGCCACCATGGGATTAAGAGATAGGGGAGCAGGAGGGAGCCAGCAGGCAGTGCTGTTCTCAGCTGGAGTTAAGTTTCCTATACTTGGACTACCTGGAGACTTTTACTTTGTTCCCTCGTGGCTGTGTTACCTGTAGGACACTGCAGGTGACAGAGACATCTGATGGCCCCCCTGGCAGGCAGTGGGGTGGGTGTGCAAGGGGGTATGGCTGGATGCAAGAGGGAGCATCTGGCTTTCCTGCATGATGATGGGAGTGGTGATGGAGAAGCAATGGCGCTGCGGGTGGCAGCTGGTGCCGGGGCTTGCCTCCAGAGACTTGCTGTGGTCATCATCTTCCCAGGGAGGGGATGCTTCGAAGGGAGAGTTGTGGAATGGGGTGAAGAAAAGGCAGCGGAGGCAATTAGAGTGCTTTTACTCTTTCAATTCCTTGCGTTTGTTATAGTGCATCAGACTATTGAATAACGTGCTGTGTGTTACACAACATGCTTTAATGGCATGTGAGAAGTGGAATTAGGTGACGTGTTCCTACCTTACTCTCATCTGAGTATCTCCCAACCAATGCGCTCTTGTAGTGTGCTTATGTTTTCTTGAAGCTGCCTTTCTAGGTGTGAATTCTCCATCAAAAATAATTTGGCAGCCCCACCCCAGCTGGACTGTCATAGTACCTGTCTGATTTTTCAAAATGTTTGATGCTTTTCTTTTTCTGGGACCTGTACTGTTCAACATCTTTGTTGGCGACATGGACAGTGGGGTTGAGAGCACCCTCAGCAAGTTTGCTGATGATACCAAGCTGTTTGGTGAGGTAGACACGCTGGAAGGGAGGGATGCCATCCAGCGGGACCTGGACAGGCTGGAGAGGTAGGCCCAAGTCAACCTCATGCAGAACCACAAGGCCAAGTGCAAGGTCCTACATCTGGGTCGGGGCAATCCCAAGCATAAATACAGGCTCGGCAGGGAATGGCTGGAGAGCAGCCCTGAGGAGAAAACCTGGGTGTGCTGATTGATGAGAAACTCAACATAAGCCAACAGTGTACGATTGCAGCCCAGAAGGCCAACCGTATCCTGGGCTGCATCAGAAGTGTGGCCAGCAGGTCAAGGGAGGTGATTCTGCCCCTCTGCTCCACTCTCGTGAGACCCCACCTGGAGTACTGCATCCAGCTCTGGAGTCCCCAACATAAGGACGTGGACCTGTTGGAGTGGGTCCAGAGGAGGGCCACGAGGATGATCCGAGGGCTGGAGCACCTCTCCTATGAGGAGAGGCTGAGAGAATTGGGGCTGTTCAGCCTCGAGAAAAGAAGGCTCCAGGGAGATCTTATTGTGGCCTTCCAGTACCTAAAGGGGACCTGCAGGAGAGCTGGGGAAGGACTTTTTACTAGGGCATGTAGTGATAGGATGAGGGGGAATGGCTTTAAACTGGAAGAGGGCAGGTTTAGATTAAACATTAGGAAGAAGATTTTCACTTTAAGGGTGGTAAGGCAGTGGAACAGGTTGCCCAGAGAGGCTGTTGAGGCCCCATCCCTGGAGGGGTTCAAGGCCAGGCTGGACGTGGCCTTGGGCAACATGGTCTAGTGGGAGGTGTCCCTGCCCATGGCAGGGACGTTGGAACTCAGTGATCTTCAAGGTCCCTTCCAACCTAAACCATTCTATGATTCTTGATAAAGCTTGGTTTGAAAAAGCCTGTTCTGGGTGTTTGTGGAGATGTTTTGGGTGTTCTTTGATTCCCTCACAAATATGAAGAGCTGAGCTTTTATATAATCTGATAAGTAATTAGCACAACAGAAACGTGCTGGTTTTGTGCCAGGTCTGTGAAGATGGTAGCTTCCTTTGGAAGAAACATGAGTAAAAGTAAAAAGATAAGCCGCAGTAATTGAAAACATGGAACCTAATTTTTTCTGGATTTCTATAAAATTACCCCAGAAGTGCCCTATGCCATTCTGTTCATAAATTCCTCTATAAATGAGATTCTGGGGAGCTCTTGTTATTGTTGCTTTGTAGGGTGCAGTTCAGTTAAATGTACTATGAGGGAATATTTTTGTTTGGTTCTTTTGGGGTTTTTTTAATGATAATATCATAGGTTTTCCCTGCTTTGCAGCTGGAACAATTTTTAAGTGGAAAATTGATAAATATTTGATAGCAATTAGTAGCAGCCATAAGGGTACTGAGGTTTCCAGCCTAAAAATACCCATTTGAGAACAGTGGATACAAGAACATTATAACAGATTTTTCCGGAGACTAAGGTTTTCTCAGGTCATTGAATGATGTTTCCTATTTTGTTTGATAAACTGCATGTAATGAAACATGAAAATCCCGAGAAGGCTTTTTTAAGCTTCCCTAAACCAACTTTCCTATAGGAACTTTACATCTCATTTGTATTTTTGAGTGTCATATTAGTGCAGTACTAACAAGTTTTTACACAACATATTTATATGTATTATATATGTGCTTGAAGAAATTTGCAGTTGAATAGTAAGAACTCGCTTTTTTTTCTGGGTTGCAGATGAAATGGACTACAGTAATTGCAACATGTAATAAACACATCTTCAAGTCTAGTAGCTTCTGCAAAATGTCAGTGTTTGTGTACAAGAAGGGAAATCTCACACTGAAAGGGCTTAACAAAGATTAAGCCAGCGATGCTCAGTGCTGTATAGACATACTATGTAGTTCCAGAAGAAGCTTATGATTCTGTAGTAAATTCATAATGAAAAATTATGGAAACCTATCAGTCGGTCTGAGTGCTGAAAGAGCCTTTTTGATGAAGGAAGGGTCTGGGAGATGGAAGGGCAGTGGGCAGTGCTCTCCTTTCAGCTTCAGGTGTTCATCAGTTTTAGAGTTTCTCCCATGGACCAGAGTAATAACCCCCGTGCCACTCATATATGCAGGCGGGCTGGATTTGGTTGCTTTATTCACCTGTGCGGGGGTACAGTAGATGAGACATTATATAATCCGGTGTTCCTGCCATGCTCTTTGGGCGGAAATCCCAGAAAAGGCTACAGCCAGAAGGCATTGTTTTCCCAGCAGCATTGCCCATCGCTTCTGTTTTCATCCACGGGGGAAGAGCCTCCGGGAATGGCCGCACGTTTGTAGTGCTTTGCCCATCCGCGTTTTGAGTGGTAGCCAGGATGCTGTGCTCTCAGGCTGAGCTGGAGGCGTGTGTGGGTGTATGCTTCTTGCTGTGGGAGGACCTTAGTCCATCTTTAGTGGATACAGGAAAGGTAAATACTTGAGGTCCAGAACTGCTAAACCTAAACCTCCAGTGATTAGGAGCCAGACCCCAAAATGCTTAGGTTGACTGTCAGAGACTGAGTACAGAGCCTTTTTATTGTGAGCCTCTATGGTTTGGTTTTCTGAGCTGGGGTTTTTCATTCATTAAATAATAGGACATGAGGAAGTGAATTACAAGAAAGTAGAAAGTTCTGCCTTGTGTGTCTGCCTTCAAGAGTAAGAGAGAATTGAAGTCAAATGTCCGATCCCGTTTTGGAAGCCAGCAATTCCTCTTGTGTTTGTCAGATAAAACATAAATTCTCTCATCTCTGTGTTTCACCTTTTCTGACTATAAAATGGGGAAAATACATTGCTACTTCTACGTGGGTGCTACGCTGAGCAGATATACCAATATTCAGCGATGCAGTAGCGCTGTCCTGGTGCTGGGTTCTTGGAGACCCAATTGTAACAAGTGTGTCTGTAAATGTATGAGATTTCGAAGTTATGAAGTTGCAGAAGTATATGTAGAGGCAGATTTCCCTCCCACCCAGGGAAGGAATGATAGGCCTTTCATTATACGCTTGTGATTGTGTGTGTTTTATCCTTGGAGGTAATGCAGCTGTCTGAGATAGGTAGTGAATAAATCTGTATAAAGTACTTTCAACATGAAAAGTGCTGCTCTGTGCAACAGCCAAATTTAGGTGTCAGTCCTGTGATTAAAAATTTGTTTAGAATAACAAACCCAACCTTCTGGGAGGTCTAAGCATCTCCAACCCCTTAAATAACCTGGGTACTTAAATATTACATCATGTGTCGTCCAACATAAGAACGTGTAACACCTTGCAGGATCTGGAAGTAATTTTATCTGACTTGTCATATAGGGTAAAGCTTTTGCTGTGATTAAACAGCTATCACTAGTCTAGAGTTATTTTTTTAAAAAAGTTTGCCATTTGAAAACACAGAAAAATATTTTAAAAGTTTTATTCTAATTGAAACAGAACCCAAAGGGCCTTTTTTGTCTGTATGTTTGTTTGTTTACTTGCTTTTTTTTCTTAGAACTATTTTGATGGAAAACTTTCCCCTCAAGGGAAAATGCCTTGGATTGAATACAATCACAAGCAAGTGTCTGGCACTGAGTTCATTATTGACTTTTTGGAAGAGAAACTTGGAGTGAATTTAAATAAACACCTTGGTCCGCATGAAAGAGCTGTTTCCAGAGCCGTGACAAAAATGGTGGAGGAGCACTTCTACTGGTAAGCTTGCATGGCAGAGCTGGCTGCGTTCTTGAGCTATCAGATCTGCCCCTGCACTTGTGCCTGCTTATTTTCTTTTGCAGAAAGCTTGGGTACGTAATTATTAATTTCACAAGTCTCTTCACCCTAGAAAACTGCTGCTTCGTTCTGTGTATGCTGGTATGAACCAGGGATAATTGCCCTGAAAAGTTGCCATGCTGTGCAAGTAAGGTGAGGTCTCAGGCCCTTCGCCTGCAGCTTTGCAGAAGGGAGCAGCAGTGGGCTGTTCCCCTGTCCTGTTTCACGCGATCTCCATATAAAAACAGCCTTAATAGCAAGCAAAAAATCGAGGTGTTTGAATACATTTGTGGTTTGGTGGGGGGGAGGGTTGCAGAGGGACAAATCCAGCGTTCATAGTGAATCCAGAATATCGTGTTCTTACAGTTACTGATCTTAATTATCTGTACCTCTGATTGCAATACGGATTACTGCTTTTCCTGTGACACAGAATACTCCTTTTAATATGTATTGTTGACAGCACTGCCAGTTGATAGGATGCATGCAGTTTTAGTCACAATATCCTGAGAAGCTGAAGTATGGGTATATAACCTTGCTGGTACTTGATGCATTTTACTGACACCTTTGAAAATAATACCTGTTCTTCCCCCCCCCCCCCTTTGCATTTCAGGTCTTTTTAACTGCCCTTTCTAGCCTGGATTTGTAGAAGTAGCAGGTGGACATGGCATCTTGGATGCTGCACTGTCTGCCTCAGCAGGCACAAGGCTTTTTCCCAGTAGTTTGCTTTCTAGCATGCATTTAAGTCCTTGCTCTACTCTCTTGCATTTCTGTTGTACTGCTTTTCTTAAAAACAATGTGTGATTTAAATTGAGTGCATTTAATTGCTTTTTCTTGCACCGTGTGATTGAAGATGAGCAGCAACACGTGTACGTAGTTGTTCAAATAATTTTTAGTGTTTCCTGGGAACAATTTTAGCATTCAGTAGGTAGATTTAAATGATGTGGTTCAGAAATGTAATCCCTGCCTTCCAAGAAGTGTGGCCTTTGCCAATTATGCCCATCTGCAGTGCCATAGCCTCAAGAATCTGGCTCAAGTAGCCTGCAGATGTAACTTTTTTTTTTGTTCAAGTTGCGGCAGGGGAGGTTTAGATTGGATATTAGGAAGAATTTCTTCACAGAAAGGGTTGTCAAACATTGGAACAGCCTGCCCAGGGACGTGGTGGAATTGCTATCCCTGGAGGTATTTAAAAGACGTGTAGACGTGGTGCTTAGAGACATGGTTTAGTGGTGGTGTTGATGGTGTTAGGTTGATGGTTGGACTAGATAATCTTAAAGCTCCGTTCCAACCTAGACAATTTTATGATTATATGGTTTCTGCCCCCTCAATTATTACAGCTGCTAAAGGGAAGATGAGGCCTCTTAATGCCCTAATGCTCCGTCTCCTTGCCTTAGTGTCGGTTGTTTCATGGTCCATAGACTTAACTGCTTTAAATGTAACATTACTGATGACAAACTTACACCACTGTTGTGTCTCAATTACAAATCCTGCTTTCCTCTGCGAAGCTGTTCTCTGACCGTGCAGCCTTCCTCTGAGCTGACTTGGCACTGTTGGGCGTGACATAGTGGAGCATTGGGAACAGGTATTGCAAATTCGGGCACTAACCCAGAGAGGTGGCGTTGAAATGGGCGGACAAAGCTAAACCAAGTAAGAATAGAGATGTGCATGCCTGACTGTATATCCCTGTTGCCTTTCTTGTTTAGTCACGCAGCAGAATTTCCCTAAGGCATGTATTTTTGCTGCAGTGTAGTAAAACATCCAACTATGAGCCTTGTATGTCCCTGCTGTGTGGCTGTACTAGACACTTGCTACGTTGGTGAGTTTACACCATGCCAGTTCTCAGTACCAGGCGAAGCTTGAGCTGTGAGGCATTACAGTTGTACTGCTTTGAGTCCTGGATAACAACTTTGACCATCCTGGATTTACATCAAAATAAAATTGGGCTTTAGCTGTGTAGGACTGCGTTTCTCCCTGACAGCATTGCGTCTGTGGTTGTGGCATCCCTTCATATTGGTCCTCGAACCTGCCCACTTTGCACCAGAAGCCCAGGGTTTGTTCATGGTGTCCTCAAGTCTCACGGTGAGGAACTTGGGACAGTGATTGCCTTTCTGCGGAATAAGGTTTATAAAATCAAGCCTCCAAAGCAGTGATGTAAAATGTGATTCATACTGTTTGATTGCGAGCAGCATGCAAAGTAGCTTCATCATAAATAAGTAATACTGTAGTACATTTATCGATCAAAGGAGCAAAGTACATCCTGTGGTGTGCTGTCTCTGGATGGAGCTAATCCTGGTGGGTGCTCAGCATCTCCTCCTGAAACATTTAGCTTTTGCTGAGGTAATTGCTCATCTTCACCAATTAGTGCCTATTACAGGTGGAAATTGCTGCTCTGGCTGGAGGTGAGAGCAGTGCAGGGCTGTTGTGAACCTCGGGCTCTAGACACCCTGCCTCTGCCCCAGGCTGCGATAGCTGGCAGGGGTCGGGCAGAAAGACAGCAAGCGAGTGAGCATACCTATTTTCGTGCCGGGATTAGAGCATATCTCTGAGATGCACAAGACTGATTTGGAGCTGGCACTGGAGCTCCTGTCCCTGGAGAATGCCGTAACTATTAGGCTTTTGCTATGTTTAAATCGGCAAAAGAAAAAAAAGCATGCTAACCTGAATGGGTGTTGGGCCAAATCAGCAGGGGAGAGATGGGAGCGGATGGATTTTGTGGTTCTTGTCCCGGGTCCTGCATCCAGTGCAGACCTCTCTCATCTGCTGAAGGCTTGCCCTGGGTCACCTCCACTGCCTGCGGCGACCCGTTGGTCCTCAGAAACCAGCAGGGAACCTGCAGCTGTCTTCAGGATGTGTTGAATTTTTGGTGTATCTGCAGCACGTTCATGGGATTGGACCTCTGTGTAGGATGGGCCGGAGGATGTCAGATTCTCACATCCTCCTGGTGCTGGCACGCTGGGCTCGTTGGCACTGCCAGCATTCAAACCAGGCAGCTCCTGGTGCCTGGAGGGCTAGCAGTCACTGCCAGGTGCTTCCTGGCACTTCACTCTCAGGAGAAGGATCTCAGGCCAATGACACTAATGTGCTTAAAAGACTTGAATATGCAGCTTAACCAAACTAACCCATTAGATTGGTTTAGCTAAGCAATTACAACCTTAGTGATCTGTAAGTGTGTGTGTGTGTGTGTGTATATATATACACACACACATACATATTTAAATCATTTCTTAATTTGTCTTTCAATAAGACCATGTAAAATCACATATGTGATGAGTGCTTGAAGTACAGGAAAAGCATGGTATGAGAATACAAACGAATCTGACTTTGGTCGGCATTCAGACTTGCCATGTATTAAACATAAAATATGTTTATAATATAAATATGTTTAAATACATCAAGCCAATTATAAGAGTGATGTCTCTCCTGCTATTAACAATGATAATCCTTGAATGCCACTGGCAGCTTAAAAGCCAGTTGCTTTGGGCTGGCGCACAGCAGGTGGGGTTTCTACAGCAGATTGTGGAATGAATTCATTATAATCCTTTTGTATATCAAGAAATTCCACTCTGCATAGGTTGAGATAGGAAAAATAACCCCAGTTCACATCCTTGTGAACACCTCCCCCTTGCCTTGATGTTCAGACAGTTTGGGGATAATCGGGCAAGCCGCTGTTGATGAGTCACTTTCTCCATCTCCTCTCCTGATTTATGTATTGAGGCCAAAGCTGCTCTTCCATTTAGACTTCAGATTTGCTTCACCCCCGCAGCATTGCTCTTTAACGCATTACTGTTTTATTTATATTCCAAGATTTGTACAGATGTGCTGGCACAAATGGGAATGTTAATGTTTCCCACAATGCTCAGTTCAGGCCAATGTTTAAAAAAAATTATATCATCCTATAAATACTAACTGTAGTTTAAAATGTATAGTTATGCTGAAGTAGGTTATGTAGACTATCCAATTTCTGGCATTTTCTAACCTTTTGTAATGTTGATAATACTCTAGTAATGTAGTCTGAGCAGAGGGATGATGGGTGGGATTAAATGCAGAGGAGCATGTTTTGATAGGAAGCACAGATTAATGAACCTTAGAATAGAATTATTTTAACAAAGTGCTTGTGAAGACAGTTTTAAAAGTGCTTTTAACTGTCTCTGAATCTGAACCTGCTTTTTTCTTTGCTTTTATATACTCAAACCCATAAAATTTTAGGAGTAAACTCTGTGGTTGTCTGTTTAGCTGCCTTCATTGCCTGTGTAAATTTGAGATTTGGGACACGTGACAACTTTACTCATTGAAAGTGACAAGCAGATGTCTTAAGATTGTGATTGACAGTTCAGCCTAAGCAGGATTACCTAAATCCTGTGCACTTCTGCTCTTCCTGCGTTGCTGTCCTGATCGTTAAACATTTCATCTGATCTCTGCTTCTTCCAGACTCAAAGACCTTCTGCCCCAAAGCAAGCGAGTGCTAGGGGAATGTATTTTTGATTTAGAGTATAGGCTAATTAGCTTTGTGGGAAACCTTCTTCATCCTGTCTCATGAAATTAAAGCCGTCCTGGACATGGTTGATTGTTCTTGGTGCGGTGCCAGCTCGCTGGTGTGGCTGGAGTGAACAATAGTGATGGCAAATCCATAGGGCTGAGTTAGTCTTGTGCGACTGGAGTGACTTTTAAAAAATGGTGCAGCAGAGTCTCCTCTCTTCTTTTTCTGTTTTGTTTTGGCTTCTTTTTCTTGTTGTCCCTCTCCATGGCCAGGCCTGTTGTCCTAGAGCAGCTAAGCTGTGTTGCAGAGTTGCTGGGTGAAGCTGGTCAGGTCCATGCTGGGGAAGGAGGATCTTTGCAGCAGGGCACACAGCAGTGCTCTCAGAGAGCAGTTTTTTCTTAGCTTATTCAAGTAATAACTTACAGATATAGATACTATTTGTAATTATTTCCCAGTGCTTGCATCGAGATCAGAGTTTTTCTTCCCATTCAGAGCTGCACCTGCCTATGGGGCCTTGTCCTTTCCCAGGGTAGTGAAACATGACTACTGAAACGTTCTGCTCTATGGAGCACCTTTATGCTTTCAGCCTATTCTGCTTTCCATCCTTCTTAAATCCTGTTTTACCTTAGTTTCTGGAGCAAGGCAGTCTTGCACCACATTTTCTAGCCAAAGACAATACTTCTGGAGTTTCAGTAACTGTTTACTCCTGTGTTTGCTGGCTTCATGTTACCCCGTTTGTGCTGGTGCCTTCGCTGAATCTGGCTTTATTTCAAACTCCGCTGTGCTGAAACCAGCCCAATGAATTGAGTTGATGCATTCATTTTGAAAAACAAGGATTGTGCAGACACACCTCTGTTCGAAGCGTGGTACTGAAGCACGTGAAACGTCAGTGGGATGCTTTTGTCATATTAATACAACACAAGAGGTTCTGGAGAAACCTGTTGAGGATAAAAGCCATCAGAAACATAGCAGGTGCATTTTCGTTTTTCACTGTTTATGAATTTGCAGCAAAACTTGCATATGCCTCACTGTTACTGACTTTAATGAAATCAGTTTGAGGAGAAGGCATTGTCCTGCAGTGGACAATTTTTAATAGAATTGAAATGCCTTTCACCTGCTCTGTTGGGTTCCTTTACCTTACATTATTAGTAATTCAAGTAAAGAATCTGGGGAAACTTAAAGATTAGAACATTTTCCTGGTGTAAATGTAGTTGTTCCCTGATGGTATGTCTGAATTCAACTTCTTTTCATGACGTACAGGACTTTGATAAAACTTACGTTAAAAAAAAAAATCACAAGACTACTTCACTTTGGTTTTTTTTATTCTGTCTTGAATTAGGTGATTGATATCAGCACTAAGGAAATTATGTGCAATTAGAAATATGTGCAAAGATAAAACTGAAGTCATATTCCATTGAGCTCTGATCATATTGGAAATGGAAACATTTGATTATTAAGTTAATGCTTAATATAATCGTCTACATGAACTTGCAACTTTTGATCTAGCTGCACTGGTTTATCATGTCTGCATGAGCCTGTTTTCATATGACCTCAGATATGTAACACCACTTTTAGACATTTCAGTTTGGAAGTTGCTACAAACATAATGGAATATGCGTATCAACTCGTTTCTGAGACCCTGTTGGGTTTGTATGTTGGCATTTCTACTTTGAGGTGTCTTTAGCCCTTTTTTCAACATCCCTTGAACTTGGTGAGAAAAATCATATGGCCTTTTGGTTTCTTTGTAATCTGAGAAGATGATAGATAATAAAAAAGTTAGTATTTTTTCATAAGTTTCTTGAGTAGTGACAGCAACAAAACAGTTTTTTGTTTGTCTACAATATTAGTAAAGAACAAAAATTCATGGAGGAAACAAATTTCAGCTGGTAAGACAAGTTTTTATAAGAAGACCTTTCAAAATAACGTATTTGCCATTTAATAAAGCTGAAATACAGCACGAAATACAAGAGTCCTTTGGAAATGTTTCTCTCATAAAATCAGCAATTTGAAGAGAGGCAAAAATACAGGAGAAAACTAACCCAATAACCACTACTCCTTCATTTTCTTAAATTCTATTTTTAAAAGAGTGTGTCATTGTTAGTTTCTGAAAAGAGCAGAGATCTTATGAAAAATGACTGCTGCAATATTTATGTTAGGGCAGAGTTACTGCTTGGCTAAGTTTCAGCAGTATGGAAAGCAGGGAGAACAGGTTGGTGGGAAAGATTGGTTTCTTTGTGGGCTGTTTTGTTGCTGTTTTCCCCCGGTCTGTGCAGTCAGTCATCTTTAGTTAATAAATCCTTTCGTCAGTTTTGGCACTGCATTTTGTTATGCGAGTTTAGCAGAATTCCGCAGCTTTTATTTTATATTTCAGTGTGAATCCTATTTTCTCTTGAAGTGAGTCATGATTTACTGAGAGAATGAGCACTGGGCAGTCTGTATAAGTACTGCAAAGTCAGTTTGCTCTGCTGCCACTCGTGAGTTGCATCAGGGTCTACTCTTTACTGGAAACTACCCCTCCATCAGGGCAGTGAGCGCTCAGCGTGAAGAAAGCTCGCTGCCGAACCTTTGTGTGAGTCTTTGCAGGGTGGTGGTGGGCTGTCTGGGTATTGCACTGTGATAACTTATTTTTGCATCCTTCTAGGACTTTAGCTTATTGCCAATGGGTGGAAAATCTTCACGAGACGCAAAAGATGGTTTCACTTTTTGGCCCCTTCAGTGACTTGCTGAAGTGGATCCTCTGCCATCTGACCAAAGGGATTGTGAAACGGGAAATGTACGGCCATGGCATTGGCCGCTTCTCAGAGGAGGAGATGTACACGCTGATGGAGAAGGACATGCGGACTCTAGCAGGCCTCCTCGGTAATGTACAGTGAGTTACGCGCGTTCTGTTTGATCACAGCCTGCTGTCCACAGGATGAAACTATCTGCGAGTGCTTCCCCGAAGCTTGATTCATAAACAGATAATCTTATTTTGTCAGTAGGTAGAGTTTGCACTGCTGCAGTCGTTCAGTCCCACCCTCGCTTTGGCAGGGCCAGTGTTTCTTTCCCTGCTGTTTGTTACCAAATTGTGTCTCTATCTAGAGGGCTAAGCGGCTTTCTTCTCTGCGCACCAGGTATGTGTATCTACACGAGCAGAACGTGGCCTGTGGTTTTGGAAGAGCATTTTGCTATGTGAATTTAGGAAAATGGAGTGTTTAGTTCTGCAAATGAAACCTCTTATATTTTGGGGGGGTCCTCATTTTTCCTTCGTGGGACTCATGGCTGTTTGATAGGCCGTTATGAGGCTGCCATTTGAAAACCCTTTGCAGATGTTCTTTTGATGAGCTGGACTTTGTCGTATTTGGTTGGTGTTAGCAGCATTATTCAAAGCTGCTAGTAGGACATGGGTCTGTGTTGTCAAAAATAGGTGGTTTTAGGCTTCTTGGTCGTTTTGGGTGGATCCCATAGGGTTAGTCTTAAGGTTGACCACACTTAGCTAGAACCGTATGAGCCTCTTTTCTGTTGTGTAGCTCAGGCTGAAATCTGCAGCGGAGCTCTGCGTCTCACTTTGCAGTCTGCTGCGAGCCGACCATATTGTGCTTCTGTGTGAAATTTGCGTTTTGAGGAATTGGTTTGGGGCAGGTTGTCACTTCCCTTGAGCTTGTGTCTCTCTTGCGCAAGGAACCAAAAGAGATGGTACCTGTATGGCTGCTTTGTTCCCTGTTACAATTGTTTTAAAGAGGTGGCTGAGTGGAGGGCAGGAGGGATGACTCCCTGCCCCGTGCTCCAGAGGGAGGACATATTGCACATGCTCTAAATAGGTAAGTGTGGAGTGGATGGTGGGAGCAAGATGAGGAGAGCCCAGCAGAAGGCAGAAACTGAGTGCTTGCTCAGAAAGGGAAGGGAGATGCTTCTGGACTTCCAACGTGTTTTGGAAAGGAAGATATTTGTAGAGGACCAAGATGGGGCTGTGCAGAGTTTTCTGTGACTTCTTTTTCTGAAGCAAACCTGCCAAATTGGTGGATTGGGAGCAAGGTGGAAAAAAGACATGTGATGCATGGGCACAATGAACAAGGCGGGGAGTTGTTGACAGCTCCTCTTCTGTCGATGCTTTTTCATGCTGCATTTTGTTTGTTAACAAAGAGTTACCTATTCCGGTGCCTCTTCAAAGAAAACCTAGTTTTAGAGCTTAAGAGGTCCCTTCCTTTTCTAGGGGAGGAAGGGAGGGAGCAGCTCATTTTAGAAGAGGAGGCCTGGACACATCTGCTGCAGAGCTGTGGCCAGCTCAAGGTGCACTCATATGAGGGACTACTGTTGCCATAGCTTTGAGGTTGTCACCGCATGGCTCCATGTACGTTGCAGAGAGGAATGGGGTTGGGATGGGAGATGGAGCAAGTTCAACCTGTGACTTGGGAGCTCGGCAGAGCCCCCTTGTTCTGGCTGGGCCATGCTGGCAGGCTGAACAGAGCAGCAGTGGATGTGTCTGTGCTAAAGTCATCCCTGTCTGCCGAGAGTAGATGTAACCTTCAAGAGAAAACCAAAATGTGTTCCTGAGTACCTGTAAAAGTTTCTTGGTTTGCTTATTTGAAGTCTGCATCCTTCTGTCTCTGGAGTCTATGCTGACACTCAGATTTGCAAAGGTTTTTTTTCATCTTCCCCTCTGAAACGGATGTCAGATTAGTCAGTGTGCAGTTATATGAGTCATTATATTTGCCCTTTTGATTGTTGGTGTATTTATCTAATTTTCTGTAATTGCCTTGATTTTTCATTAACACCAACGTGCTCAGGTTTTCTCCAGCGAGGTGTTTATGGTTAGGTCTAGTGACTGTGGCCTCCAGGTAGTATCCTGGCATGGGGACAGGACATGGAATGAGGACTTCCAGCCTGACTGGAGACTCTACTGTTTCACAGGGGGAAGGAGAAGGCGGTCAGTCAGCTTGTTGCCTGCACAGCAGTCTTTGTGAGATTCCACTCCACGTATATGTGCCCATGTATTTTCTCAGAAGAGGAGGCAGTTGGCATTGTGGCTGTTAATTAGAGGGAAATCTTAAGAGCTTAAAGAGGGTGCCTATCATACAGAATAGCTGCACATACCAAACTGTAGCTGTCAGTCGTCAGGCATATCAGATTAATTTAATGCTCCCAATTTTTTAACAGAGCCATTCACATGGGAACAAGAATAACTTTTAAATTCCAAGAGCTGCTTCCAGAGAATGATAACTTGGCAGCTGTCAGGTCTTGTGACACTCATTTTGACATTCCCAGTCACATCTTGGGCGCTTTTTTTCTTTCTTTTAATTTCTGAAAATCAGTTTTCCTTCTTCCATATACCTGTTTCCCTAACAGATTCCCCCAGATCTCTTATAAGCATGGAAATTGGACTCTGGAATCATGTGATGGATCAGCTTGCCCTGTTGGTATCATCTTACTCTCTGTCCTGCAGTCTTTAAACTGCAAATGTAATTTCCTCGTGTTGTAGTAGTTTCCTACTGCCTGATAGTAGTGTAACGAAGTGGGGGGAACTGGGCATATGAACTAGCACTATATAAAAATATACATTTTGGTAATTATTTAAAAGATGCAAGTAAGTGAGCAGTGCCCATAAATCTGTTGGTGCTCTCTCAGCTCTTTGCCTGCTTCAGGCTTTTGGGTAAATAGGGATTTTGAGCAGGGAGTTGCAGGACAGCAGCTGCCTGAAGTGGCCTTTGAAAAGCATTTGAAGTTTTGTGGAGGGCAGGGGTGCTCAGAGCTGAAACTCAGAGGTGGGACTAACTTGAACCCCAGCCTCTAATGCTAGTTGAAATGTCCTGCAGCAGCCCGTGTGAGCTGTACATGGTGCTGTGGAAGGGTGCAGGTCTCCTGCTGGCACTGTGTATCATAGATCTGTCTCTTGCTGGGGTTTCTTGACCCAGTGCTGAAGTAGCTGCTTTTTAATCCTTTGGTGCTTGCATTCGTAAATAGTGGAGCTGTGTGCTCTTAAATCCGCAGGCAGTACAAATTCTATCCAAGTGCAGTGTCACCAGGTGATTGCATTTCTGTTGGATTAGCCAGGGGATGCAGCGAGTGTTTGAGATTATTAGCACTATGGCAGCCTTGATGCGACAGGAGCTGTGTCATCTGGCATAAAACTAGACACTGAGAGATGATACCTGGTCTGTCAGAAAGTGTTCTGGAAAAATGTTGTATTGGAAGTTTTGGGAACAGATTGGAACTGGTAGAAGGAAACGTGCATGGAGGCTATGTTATATGGCTCAGGGTGACCTAAAACCAGATTTACAGTTTTATGGAACTGCAGGTCTATTTCTTCCTCTTCCCCTTAGTTTCCACGCACCTGAAGGTGCAGGTGTTGTGCCTGGAGAGCCACTCTGTTTGCATAAGAGTGAGATGGTTCAGCCCTCACTTGCTGTCTGCCTCAGTTGTAGCAAGATGGAAACAGCAGTATTACTTCCCAGCACAGCGTTGTTATGGATCAAGTCTCAGACTTGCTTGTATGGTGCTAAATTCCTAGTGTTGGCATATAACTGTGGTTTGGGGACCTATTTTTGAGCTGTGTTTGAGATCGATGAATGCTGTGCGTCACATAAATACTGAAAAGATGCAACATTTACCCTGTACGTAGTTCTCAAACAACAGATTGATGCAACCGTGAAAGAGCTGGGGAGAGTTAACTCCGTGTTAAAATTACATCTGACAGGCTAGAGGAGGTTATTGTTACTGGTTATTCCTGAGCACTGCTTTGCTACACTGCAGTGCAGGGGGATGACAGCATTCCATACTCTGGAATTTGATGCATTTTACTGCTGGACAGTTTTTCTAAATTCACTCAATAACCCCAACATTTAATAACCTGCTGAATTACAGGCAGCTTATATTGGGCAGGAAAAGAATGTCCTGGGGACATGGGATAACTGGATTTGGAGAATTCAATTACATACCACATTTCACAGGGTTTATAGCACTTTGAGCCAAGGCAGGGACAGTGCAACCATCTAACCTGACCTCTCCAATACCACATGTTTCACCTGTGTGCGGTCTTTGCTCCTGGTCTTGTACCTGTGATGAGGAAACAAGTTTATACTGGACGTTTCTTTGCAAATGGTGGCTCTGAAATGTGAGTTTCTTCCCTATCGTAGGTAGTTATCTATCAGTTTGTGCTGTGGTGGCCACTTAGGACCATCATGGTGTTGGGATGCCCAGAAAGGTAAGCAGAATAGTGGTGTGGAGCGGATGTGTGTCTCCTCCGGCCCAGTCCAGTCCCAAGCAGCTGCTGTTTCACTTGCCTGCCTCTGTGCCTGATCTGCCTCTGTTTGATCCCTGCCAGGTAGAAACCAGTGGTTTTTGGGTGGGAACATCGAACTGGTGGTGTGTGGGAGGAGCTGTTCACTCCTGCTTGTGGCTGTGTCCTCCTCCTGGAGGTGCAGGTCATTCCTGAGCAGCTGCTGCCAGTGTGACTGCTGCATCGGTTTCAGCCTGAACAAATGGTGGGAGAGGAAAGCTTTGGGTATGACTTTCTTTTTTCATGTGATCAGATGGGTAACCTGAAACTGGATCTGCATGCATGAGAAATACAGGGTGACTGGCTGCTTTCAGCAAGTGCATTCATGATTTCGAACCACGGTTGAATGATTTTGGGTTTGCACCAAAGGAGAAAATCGTGCTTTCAGACACCTGCTGGCTGCAGAGAAGATTTCAAATGCAGCAGAACTAGTGCGTTGTGTATGCACTGCTAGCTGTGACAAGTGGAGGAGGTTACTTGGCCGGTGGTGGCTCTGTAATTGGCTTTAGATATAGATGAGCACAAGGGCAGCTGCAGTACTGGATTTCACCCGCTGAACCCTAGCAACAGCTTTCGAACCATATTCAACATCGAAGTCCTGTCTTGTGAACATTTTCAGCTAAATGATTTCAGTAAAAAAAAAAGTGCTAAAGATGTAACCAGGATTTTTTTTTTTTTTTTGCATTTGGGAGAAGTGACATCCAGTTGAGAAATATTTGCTGTTGTATTTACAGGTGACAAGAAGTACATTATGGGACAAAATGTTTCCACTGTTGATGCCACTGTCTTCGGGCATCTGGCACAGGCAATGTGGACGTTACCAGGGACTCGACCAGAGAGACTGATCAAAGGTAAGAAAGCTTAAATGATCTCTGATGGAAAAACTCCTGATGGCATTTGCCATGTTTAAACTTGAAGCACCTTGTAAGGACATTTGAAGACTGCAGCAGCACTTCAACTGCATCACAGGCTGTTCTTGCCTTTGATGTAGCATTTGTATCCTGTAATGTTGTTTTCCCTTAAAATTCTTGTTTGTTTTCTCTTTAATGTTCTACACGGTAATTGTTTCTATTCCTGTACTTGATCTTTTCCGTGTTTAACATAGCAAAGACTGAATGCCTCTAAAGAGTGAATGCTGGGTAAAGTATGAAAAGACAGAAGCACGGCCACGAGCCAGATTCTGCTGAACTGAGTAGTTTCATTGATGGTGGAACTGCAAGTGCTATTGTCCCACTGAAATTACAGCCTTTGCTATCATTGAAGATGCTGGGCAAGGAAAGAGTCCAGCCTGATTTTCGAGTCACTGTGTTTTGGTGTGAATTGGAAACCAAGATACCTCACCCCTCCATGCATTTTTTTTTTTTTCATGTGGGTTGGTACAGGCATGTGAAAGTATCTTTGCATCACTTTTCAGAACAAAACAAGGCAGTATGAAAAATGGGAAGAGCTAGGGAGGAAAATTATATGAAATAAGTGTAAAAGGAATGAATCTGACCTGTAGATCTACTGTGTGCAAGAGAGCTACTAAAGCAACAATTAGGAGGTATAGAGTTGCTCATTATTAAAACTTTGAGGAAAAAAATACTAGAGATGAGGACATAAGTATAGGCTATACAGTTCCTCCCCTTGATATCTGGGGAACCATGGATAAAATTCTGAAGGGTCCATGGCTTTCAAGAAGGAATACTATGTTGTTTGAACTAGTTTGTCTCTAATGGAAATAAATAGGTGGTACTGCAAGTACCAAAGCACTGTGGATGATTCTCCGTACTCATCCACCTACTCATGCTATTTTGAGTGCAGGTTTCACATAAATATTCCCTTTAATATGCTATTATTTCTTTGTTCTTTGAAGTTTTTTTGTAATTTCTTCTTTAAGCACACTCCAAGCGTACATGTATATATAAACTTAAGGCGTAAGGGACTAAGATTAGGAACATAAAGGGCGAGCCAGTGACCGTACAGAAACTTCAGAATGTGAATTTAATCTTGCAGACAACGCTGCCATCTGGTGGTGGAAAACCCAAATTCACTGTATTTTAGTAAATGAGTGTATTGTACGTCTAGGATGGAACTGTCTTTAGAAAACAGATTTCTGCAAAATAAGCTAGACTTTTACTATGAAAAACTTACAGTATTAATATCTTGTTTTGATTTATTTCTGTCGAGGTTGAATTTGGGATCACAGAATCACAGAATTTTCAGAGTTGGAAGGGACCTCTAGAGATCATCTAGTCCAACTCCCCTGCTAAAGCAGGATTGCCTAGAGCACATTACTCAGGACTGCATCCAGGCGGGTTTTGAAAATCTCCAGAGAAGG